AAGATGGCGAGATTTGATACCAGAATTGATTAGATGAGTCAGTCGAGGGTGTAGACGGAACCGTGAACTAGAAATTTCTCTTATTTATTCTATTTTATTTTTATTTTCTAGTTTAGATTTTATTTGCTTTATTAGGATCTTAGTTTTAATCCAATACCCCCTCTTTTATCGCTTTTATAATTCAATTAATACAAGAAAATTAACGATTTGATACACACTCCCTGTGGGATCGACCCTTACTCGTCGCTACTACTAGTTAGTAGAGGTTAGTCGAGGAAAATATAATTTTAATTTTGCCGCGTTGCGACGCGCGGTCATTCACCATGATGTGTTGAGTTGAATTTAGATTGATCACCTATTAGGCTTTACATATCTACACCTGAATTAGGCCTTTAATCCGTAATTGTTGATGTGTTTAATTCGTAAGTGGTATCCGGAAGATGGTAACTACCGGGGATAACACGACCTATTTAAGTGAACGAACGCGGTTGAGTTCACTACTTAGTCTAGCCTATTTTTCTAATTCGTAAAGCGGCTGATTGTATTAAATCTAAGAAGCGTTTTCTAGACTGTACAAGAAGTCAGGTTTAATCGTAGAGCGTCTCACGGTTAAATTATAAATAAGGAAAAATTTGGGTAACAGACTGTGTCGTTACCTAGGGCTAGTAATTCCATAAGATAGCGAGATTTGATACCAAAGTTGATTAGATGAGTCAGTCGAGGGTGTAGACGGAACCGTGAACTAGAAAATTCTCTTAATTTATTTTATTTTTATTTTTATTTCCTTTGTTTAGATTTTATTTATTTCATTAGGATCTTAGTTTTAATCCAATCCCCTCCTTTTATCGCTTTTTATAGTTTCAGTTAATACAGAAATTTCACAATTTGAATCACACTCCCTGTGGGATCGACCCTTACTCACCATTACTACTAGTTAGTAGAGGTTGGTTAAAGGAAAAATATAAATTTTAATTTTGCCGCATTGCGACGCGCGGTCAAATTTTGGCGTCGTTGCCGGAGAGTGGCATTATTGAATTGTGATTTTTAAGTACTAATTGAATTATTGTATTTTATTTATTTAAGATTTTATTTTTATCATACTTTACCNNNCCCCCCCCCCCCCCCTCTTTTTCTTTATTTTTGTTTCCTTTGCAGAATATTGGGTACCCATACTCTGCTGGACAGAATTGTTCACCCCCATACTCGCGAGAATAACTTGTCTTTGGGCGATTTTGATCGAGATTTGCGTGATTGTTCGAGAATGGCAGCCAACTATCACGACTTTTATACCCACCAGACACCTTACCAGTATGAGTGAGAGGTACGAGGCCCGTGGAATGGAGATCGAGCCATAAGAGAACTTATTGGTTGGCGAAGAATCAAGCAAGACTACTTATATCCCGATGAGTATGAATACCGCTTGAGAGAGCACTCGAACTCTTTCTATGGATACTCCGAGCCACCAATTGCACGAGATCCTAGCCCGTCACTGGAGGATATGATAGAGGCATTTACATTGAACATGTTGAGATTTCGGCAAGAGTTCTGCGAGCCATTAATTGAAAGAGATCTGGTCCATCGCTCGAGGATATGATGATGGAGTTGACGGCTCACACCCTTAAGTTTCAGCAAAGTGTTGAGGCAAGCATCAAGAGCCAAGAGGCGAGCATCAACAACCAAGAGGCGAGCATCAACAACCAAGGACTACGCATAAGGAACTTACATGTCCAAATGAGCCAATTTGTGGAACAAATGGACCGACTAGCGTGTCGGCTGGAAACGAGTCCAATGAGTTCAAGCGTCATCCATTCGTGTAGTGAGGACCTCGAGGAACCTGAAGAGTGCACAACCGGAGAGCGTCAAAATCACGAATATAGAGAAAATGGAGTCGAAACAGCCCAGTACGGGGGTGCCCCATACTCAGCCTGTTGTACCCCATACTCCACCTACTGTAGCGAAAAAGCATACCGTTATCCCCGCTCCTGTGCCGATAGAAGCTGAACCTTATTTTATCTCTTCCAATACGAAGTGGGTACTGAGTAAAGATGCACTGAAGCATGTCTTGAGCCTTAATATCCAGCCTCTTGAGACGATCGAGCAAATTGAAAGGTGCAAATGGGAGTTTGAGGAGACAGCGACCGTGATTGAGGGTGGGTTGCTATACATTCATGAGGAGTCAACTCTATGGAGAAAAGACCCGGTGAAACACCCAACATCGAAGAGTGATTGTTTTGAAAAGCATGTCGTGGTAAGATTGATGGCTCCCTTGAGGCCACCTCGGAAGCCGCCATGGATCCTTTGATGAAAAAGAGCAATAAGTCGGGCCAACGACACTAAAAAGAGGCGCTTGTTAGGAGGAAACCCAATGGTGTGCGTGGTTCGGTGACTTCTTCTACATTGATTAAGGTGAACTCGTTTCTTTTACCTTCGTTTTTAGTTCTTTTGTGTTATGTGAGCGTCAATGATATATGCAAAATCTAAGTTTGGGGAGGTTTTTCTTGGTGAGCATTCATGATTTATTATGTCATTATATTTTTGCCCCTTAAAGTTTGAGTTCTTAGTTTGAATTGCATGATATTTGTTAGTCTTGTGTGAGCATGAGATTGCATGTACGTGGAATTTTGCGATGATGATGTGAGAGTCGGTTTGAATTTATTGTGCTAGTTTAAATGGCTTGAGTTGATGTTATTTGGTTAAATTCTTAAGGCATTTTTATTTTGGGGACAAAGGCATGATGGTTGATATTTTTGTGACTTATTCGTGGTGAGTTGATTTTGAGGCGATTTGTATTGTTGAGATGTGCTTGTGATTGTTTTAATCAATGTTGATTAAGTTTGGGGACTTGAAGTTGAAAGTTGGGGTCTCTATGTCTCATAGTCGAAAAAATAAGAATAATGATGATGGAGGAATAATTGGTGGAGTCGAAAATCCGTTTGACACAGGAAAAAAAAAAGTCCTGGGCTGCAACAACTGCCAATCCGTGGGGGCTCTAGTGTTTAAATCCAATAATTCTTGTATCGAGACAATCACAAAAGGCTAAAACCCGCAGGTTGTGACGGAGCTGCCGTTCCCTACTTCGAAAAAAAAGAGAGAGAATGAGAAAAAGAAAAAAAAAAAAGAAAAATGGAGAATGAGACGTTTAGACTTCGACTAGAAATGGAAAGAAACTAGACTTGTTAGCAAAGAGAGAGATGTCATTAGTGCGGTGCATTCGTTATAGAGATTGACAAACTATGGTGGTCACTTGGATTGATACTTGATGTGTTTGCGTTCTTAGAATAAATTCATCTTGAGTCCGGATAAATTGATTTGAGTTGGTTGAGCTATGCACTCATGTGAGAAATGTGAGGCATTGAACAAATATTCCACGTACTTGTTTTCTTATCCATCTATGTGCTTATAGTTCTAAGTTGCTTGAGGACAAGCAATGATTTAAGTTTGGAGAGATTTGATTGGTCGGAAAAAAGTGTGTGTTTTATATGTTTATTAGTGTATTTTTATATGCTATACTTTATCACACTTATATATTTTCCGACTTCTTTATTTATTAGATGGATTCTAGTTCTTTGATATTTTTGTGCTTTATTTTCAGGATATTGGAGTAGTTTTGTGGACTACGAGACGGGTCAAGGAATTACTAGTGAGTTGGGCTAAGGCCAAGTGATTAAGGCCCAATATTATGATGATTTGGAGTCGGAGCTGGGAGATTCACCTAAAAAGGGCTGTGATTATTTACGGATCCAGCAAGGAATAAGATTGAATTGGTGGCTACATATGTTGGGAATTATTTTCCATAAAAGAAGAAAACTCACGCCACAACCATTGGGAGGAAAAGATTAATTTTCACGCAAGCAAGGATTTATCTGAGAAGAAGTATTTGGAAGACACATAATATGTATAGATATTATTAACGCCAACAGAGGAGAGAACAAAAAATAGCCGCCACGCAGAGAAAGAAAAATATGCAGCAATAGAGACACTGAAAAAGACGGAAAGACGTGAGGAACCCGATCAAATTGCGGAGGGAGGCCGCACCCGCACACGAGGGAGATAATTAATCTCTCTCTTTTCTCTTTTTTTTTTTATTATTCATGTTAGAGTAGTTTTTATTTCTAGTTCCGGGGAAGTCGAACCCTAAGATTGACTATATTTTGATTGATTTTGGTTGATAATCTCAATACCTTTTTGGAATTGTTTGTGTTATTTTGAATAATTCACCATGATGTGTTGAGTTGAATTTAGATTGATCACCTATTAGGCTTTACATATCTACACCTGAATTAGGCCTTTAGTCCGTAATTGTTGATGTGTTTAATTCGTAAGTGGTATCCGGAAGATGGTAACTACCGGGGATAACATGACCTATTTAAGTGAACGAACGCGGTTGAGTTCACTACTTAGTCTAGCCTATTTTTCTAATTCGTAAAGCGGCTGATTGTATTAAATCTAAGAAGCATTTTCTAGACTGTACAAGAAGTCAGGTTTAATCGTAGAGCGTCTCGCGGTTAAATTATAAATAAGGAAAAATTCGGATAACAGACTGTGTCGTTACATAGGGCTAGTAATTCCATAAGATAGCGAGATTTGATACCAAAGTTGATTAGACGAGTCAGTCGAGGGTGTAGACGGAACCGTGAACTAGAAAATTTTTTTAATTTATTTTATTTTTATTTTTATTTCCTTTGTTTAGATTTTATTTATTTCATTAGGATCTTAGTTTTAATCCAATCCCCCCCTTTTTATCGCTTTTTATAGTTTCAGTTAATACGAAAATTTCACAATTTGAATCACACTCCCTGTGGGATCGACCCTTACTTGCCACTACTACTAGTTAGTAGAGGTTGGTCAAGGAAAAATATAAATTTTAATTTTGCCGCGTTGTGAAGCGCGGTCACCTTCTATTCCCTATTCTAATTTCTTTCTCACTCCCCAGACCTCTACAACCGGCGACGGCTTCGAGTGAAGAGCGCCAGAGTGGTGGCGACCGGAGGGAATCCGTTATGGTCGACGGTGTTTGCGGAAAGCCCCACGGCTGCCCAGTGACTGGTAATGGAGGCGGGGTTTAGCGGCAGCAGACGAGGGACCCGACTATGGCTAAGAAGGTCGGCGATTCGCAGCTGATGAAGTTTGGTGTTGCTCTAGTGTGCGGTTCTGGACCTTTGCGAGGGCCCAATCTTGCCCAATTGAACGACGACAAGGTGCGAGTGTGTTTCGGCTGATTTGAATCAACCCGGGTTACGTTCGGGTTTGCGTACCGTTGCGAGGTTAAATAAAATGTATTGGGGATTTAAATATGTGGTGTTTTAATGATGATGAATTAGATGGCTACAGGAAAAAACTAAGGAAAATAAATATCAAATTTTTATTTTACCTTCTGAAATTTGCAGTTGACGAAGGTTGCATGCGGTTTCTATAATATAAATCACTTTAAAAAATTCAGAAAATTTCAAAACAAATCTCTTCCTTAAAAAAAGAGTTAAAATAGGGGTGTATACTAATAAGCTGAATTTCGTTTTTTAATTAACCAAATCTTTTCCTAAAAAAGAGGAGTTAAAATAGGAATGTAATAATAAACTAAATTTTTGTTGTTTCCTATTCAAAATGAAATCAAAAATTTTAGGCAGGACTTGTGAAATAAATTCAAAAAAAGTTTCCAGATAAGGTAATTTTCGAAATAATTGAGCGGAAAAAAACTTATTAAAATTGTTTTTAATTTCTTAACTCTATTTTATATTAATAGATTGCAGCCGAAATTTCCATATTCAGGTAAATCGGCCAAATTCACATGATTCTAGTAATTAGGGTATCTTCAAAATAACTTTTTTATGGCTTATATCGTTTCCTAGAATAAGGAGCCGCAATTTTCTTAAATGATTATTTGAAAAATACCATAAATTGTTAAATTAATTTCCTTTATAGTAAATAGAATTTTTTAGGGAAATAGTTACTATTTTAAAAATAATCAAACATTTGTATATATATATATATATATATAGATATATAGAATGATTTATATTTTAATGTGTTTATTTTTTAATTATAATTAATATTTTTTATTTAATTGCTTTAATTGTTGTTGAAATTATACTTTAATTATATATTAAATTATAATTAATGTATTTTTATTATTACTATTATTTTTATTTTTTTTTGGTACAGGGACCTTCCAGTTTCCGGATCCATAGGGGAACCGATTAATTCGGAATCGAGCCGGGTAGGACCACAAGGGCGACAAAGCTCTCTCCCTCAAGAGTTTTAACACTGCTGCATTCCCAGAGCTCGAACTCGAGACCACTGATTAAGTTGGAAGAGACCCAAGCCATCTCATTTATTTCATTTTTAACTAGTCTTTGGCGGTCAGTCATTCTCATATGAAATGGAAGTTACACGGAGCACACGAAAGGGATAGATTCTGCTCTCTTTCTCTGGTACTTTCCTTAATCATCATAGAACAAATGTCTTGTCAAAGAACAAATTTCCACTTATTTTCACTTCAACTCGTCACTCATCTAACAAACTCTTATGAAGAATCCCCAACATCCCAATTCGTAACATAAGATCAAGAAGCCGTCCTCCTTTCTTAGCTGGAAGAGATGGGATTTGTTGTAGGTTATGTTTTAGGCTTCGCCTTTGGGATGGGTTTAACCGTGTGCTTTGCGCGGTACCAAAATGTCCGATCAAAATGCCGCACTGATTTGGTTGGTATCTAGTTTGCTCAATCATCGATTATCATTGATTTTCAACTAGAGATGATGTTTTTCATTATTATGTATATGTATTTTTCTGTCAGGCAGAAGCAATTGCAGCTTTTGCGAGGATGACAGTTCAAGACTCCAAAAAACTCCTACCCACTGATCAATTATACCCATCTTGGGTTGTCTTCTCAGAGAGACAGAAGTTGAGTTGAGAATTTACCTTTTGAGCCGTCATAATCATTGTGTGGCGAAGCCTCTAACATGCCCTTGTATTTTCTACTCGTTTGCAGTTAACTTGGCTCAATCACCACCTTGACAAGATTTGGCCTTATGTCGATGAGGTTAGCACCTTAAACTTCCTTCTAATTTCATTATTATTGTTATTTCCTTTTTGCACATATTCTTTTAGGACTTGTTTCTGTTGTGTAGGCAGCATCAGAGGTTATAAGAAGCTCTGTAGAACCAATTCTTGAGCAATACCGGTCAGCAGTTTTGGCATCTCTAAAGTTCTCTAAGTTGACTCTTGGTACCGTTCCACCTCAGTTCACAGGTTGGTTCACTTCCTTCTTCTTTGCATAGCAAAAGTCTCCTTCCTTGTCCTGCTTTTCCACAAAGAATAACATAGATGGGTTGGATAAGAAAATGGTGAACTAGGATGTCATGTGTTATTTTTGTGGATGGAATCATATAATCATATGATAGTCCACTGCATGTTTTGTTTTTATGCTAAGAGTTTTGCAATGATGCTGTCCAAATTAAGCAATAGGTCCTAAAGGGAGCTGACAATTCATTATCTTTATTCCGTTCTCTCTTTCTTTAAGGAGTTTCCATCGTTGTGGGTGAATCTGACGAGATAATTATGGAATTGGACTTGCAGTGGGATGGAAATCCTAAAATTGTACTTGATATAAAGACTAGACTCGGTGTAACTCTACCAATACAGGTATTAGCAAACTTTTACTATGAACATTACAATGACACTTTATCCTGTTTCTGATTTCTGTTGATGTGGAAGAAGAGAAACTTACCTATCCACACATTTTCTGCCGACTCGATGGCCCTTTACAACGCAAGGGCTAAATCTATTTCTAACTGTTTTCTCTGCCTGCAGGTCAAAAATATTGGATTTACTGGGGTTTTTAGGATAATATTCAAACCATTAGTTGACGAGTTTCCCTGTTTCGGAGCTCTTTGTTATTCATTGAGAGAGAAGGTACATGACTAGTTCACTGTTTGATAAAAATGGTGTCCGAACTGATTGTGTCTTGAGTTTCTAGGTGTGTGTTAACAAGTTTGAAAATGGACTCTCATATTGCAACGGCTTCGACTGGAATGCACATTTTTTTCTTAGTAACTTCATTTGAGTTTCACATATCATGTTTTTGCCTGCAGAAAAATCTCGACTTTAGCCTCAAAGTGATTGGTGGTGATATATCAGCAATTCCAGGAGTATCTGATGCTCTTGAAGTCTGTTAATTTTCTCATTATGACTCTCGCCATGTGGTGTATTCTAACTTGACAGTGTTTATGAGAATGTCATTGAATTGTCTTGTCTTTACTCGTAGGAAACAATACGAGATGCTATTGAAGATTCTATCACTTGGCCAGTACGTAAAATCATACCCATATTACCAGGAGATTACAGGTTAACTATCTATTTGCCATGCAGTCAAACTAACGGCATGTCATTACTCGAATTATGTGAACTTAGACGAGTTTCTTGGTATTGTTTATTTGTTACAGTTACCTAGAGTTAACGCCAGTGGGGACTTTGAATGTGAAGCTCATTGAAGCAAAGGAATTGACAAATAAGGACATAATTGGAAAATCTGATCCATTTGCCGAGCTATTCATCCGTCCCCTACGTGACAGGATAAAAACTAGCAACACAATAGTAAACAACCTCTGCCTTTATGTGCTTTATTAATCATACTTTTCAGTTATTAGTAGACACACACATTATTTGTCGCAGAACAATCAAACAAGTCCAATCTGGAACGAGCACTTTGAGTTTGTTGTGGAGGATGTGACCACCCAACATTTGACCATAAGAGTTTATGATGATGAAGGAATTCAAGCTTCTGAATTAATTGGTTGTGCTCAAGTATCACTAGGCGAGCTTGAGGCTGGTAAAGTGAAAGATGTGTGGTTGAAACTGGTGAAGGATCTCGAGGTCCAGAAAGACCAGAAAAACCGTGGTCAGGTGAGATGGCCAAACCTACATTCCCACTCAGTTTCTTAAATTTATGTCTTCTTTAAAAAAAATAAAAAAGAAATATAATGAAATAAAATTACACTCATGATATGCTTTTCTTTGTTATAAAGTTATGCATTTATTACTACTAGTAAAGTACATGTGCATCCCACGTGGTGTGATGTTTTTTGCCGATTAAATTTAGTAAAATAAATTAATTAATTTTTTAAACATCAATGCAGGAAAGAAGTAAAATATAGAACACATGAGCATCTAATTTTTTTTTTTTTTTTTATAATGACGTCTTAATATAAAAAGAATGAAATAACATTACAACCCTAACAAAAATATAGTTTCTAATGGGAAAAAATCTTAATATAAAAAAAAAAAATGAAATAACATTACAACCCCAACAAAAATATAGTTTCTAATGGGAAAAAAACACAAAATAACTAAATAAGGACTCAATGTATATAATAGATGCATTGGTTATTTTATTTAATTATGTTATATGATTAAAGATTAATATCTTTCATTTTGGTTTGGCGTTTTCTTAAGAAACACTCATACTCGTTAGTGCCCAGTACATTAATAATAATTGAAAATTCTTTTTAATTCATTTGGCAAAACGTCTACTTTATTCATACACTTATAAATATGCTGACCAAGCATATAGTCAAACTTCATTGAATATCTTAATAAAATAACCAACCGCATCATTAAATTGTTGATATTTTTATCATTGTATAAATTACTTCATGAAGGCATTGCCCCACAGAGTGTGAATGAATTTCGTCTCCAAATAAAAGTTAACTTTCCAAAATCTTAGTTACATGTACTTCTCTCGAGACGCTAAATTACTTTTTGAAATCATCAATTACATGAAAGTACGTATTGTAAAGTAATTGTGCATATGTTCGAGCATACACAATGAGATTGTAAATATTCCTATAAAAAAGGACAATTTTATTCAAAACATTCAACAATGTTTTGTTCAGGCTTCGACATTTTTTTTTTTTTTCCGAAACGATAGGATATATTACTCTGAAAAATAAAAGAGAGTTACAACCGAGGACAAACTTGCCCTAAACAACCGCACTGACTACGGAAAAAGCCCAAGAACAAAAGAATAAGAATACCTCCCTGGCTACTAAAACAGCTCATCCAGGGAGTTCCTTCTTATGCTTCCCTACAAAACCCAAAATATTCTCAACAGCATCAAAAAAGCCTAGCAACTGCACCAAAGCCTAGCTAGACTTCAAAACACTAAGGCAAAACAAAAGACAGAAAACTAGAACATAGAGTTATGCATACTACTGAAATACAACCAGTCCTCCAAAGCTAAGCTAATAGTGTCCTGCTCTGATCTCCAGATGTTCGAAAATATTTACAAATTCCTTGTCTTCCACATCCACCACCAGAGGATGTAAGAAGATAGCTGGAGTCTGGCCTCTACGGTAGGGGAGTTGTTGATAGAGCATAATTTTGGCCACCATTGTTTAAAGCTATCTGTCTCCTTCTTAGTTCCCTCCCAAGAAACAGGGGCGATTTTCCAGATCATCTGGGCTCTTCTACAATTAAAAAATAAGTGCTCTTGGGTCTCCAGATCCTCACCACACATTTTACACATTTGATCAATGAGAATTCCTTTCTTACTCAGATTACTGTTAACTGGGATGATGTTGTTCATGGCTTTCCACAGAAAGTGCTTGATTTTGGGTTTGATCACTAATCCCCAGCTCCTATTCCTGGTCATTTTCAGCATTTTTTGGTCTTTGCTTGATTCAGGGGAGTCCATGAGTTGGAATTTTTGTTCAATCATCTTGGAGTATGCTGAGGCCACAGTGAATTTCCCATTGGTTGTCCACTTCCAAGTAAGTCTGTCTTTTTGATGAGGGTCAAGGTCTGTAATTCCCAGAATTGCTTTTGCCTCCAGCTCTGGGAAACTCTTCAACTAGCTGCTTGTTCCATCTTCTACCCGATTCTTCAAGGAGATCACTGACTCTTGTGATGTGCTCTGGAGCTCTACTCCTGGACTGTGGATTGAGCTTTGGGATATTGGGGACCCATGGGTGCTCCCATATTTTCACACTTCTGCCATCTTTAATCTGAAATATGAGGCCATGCTTAAGAGAGTCTCTCTGCTTCATCCAGCAAGCCCAGAGCCATGAGCAGTTCCCCTTTGGCTTCACTGTGAAAAAATCCTCTTTATAAAAATATTTGGCCTTAAGAGTTTTGCTAACCAGCAAGTTGGGGTGAGTCAAAAGTCTCCAAAGCTGCTTAGAGATGAGTGCCTTATTGAATGTGTGCAGATCATGAATGCCCAAACCTCCCAGCTTTTTTGGCAAGGTTACCTTCTCCCATGCTTTCCAGTGGATTGATTTCTTCTTATTGCCAGATGTGCTCCACCAGAAATTTGCAAATGTGGAAGACAACTTCTTCAGAACTCGGCAAGAGGAAACATGACATGGAATATGTGGGAAGTGCTCCAAGGACAGCTTTCATCAGCACCTCTTTTCCTGCACTAGATAAAAATCTATTTTGCCAAGCAGAGATTCTTGCATTTACTGCTTCCTCAATGTAAGCAAAGGTAGCTAATTTTGTTTTCCCAATTCCCAAAGGGAGACCCAGGTAGTTAGTGGATTTTTGATGCTTGATACCCATGAGTGTTTGGCAAATATCATTCTGGACAGAGGTAGGAGTGTTATGGCTAAAAAAGATTGAGGATTTTTCCAAATTTACCTTTTGGCCTGTGATGGATTGGTAGTTATGGAGGATGGCTAGCAAGGTAACAACTTGGTGAACATCAGCTTTAGCAAATAAAAGAGTGTCATCAGCAAAGAATAGGTGAGAGAGGGTTGGGCTGTTTTTACAAATTTTATCCCCTTCCAGATTTCCATTAGAAAGTTCCTCTTGAATCAGAAAGGATAAGATTTCAGATATAAGAATGAAAATATAGGGGGACAGTGGGTCCCCCTGTCTTATCCCTCTAGAAGGATTAACAAAACCGCAAACCTCACCATTGACATTGAAAGAAAAGGAAGCTAAAGTCACACATTTCAAAATCAACCCCACAAATTTCAAGCTGAAACCCAACTTGAGCATAATAAGCCTAAAAGAGTCCCATTCCACCCTGTCGAAAGCCTTAATCATGTCTAGCTTAAGGGCCATAAAGCACTTAGAGCCAGATCTAAGAGATTTAAGAAAATGGAAGACTTCATGAGCTAAAATAACATCGTCCATAATTTGCCTGTTGGGGACAAAGGCAGATTGAAATTCACTAATGCAGAAAGGCAGACAAGGTTCAAGTCTCAGAGCAAGAATTTTTGAAATGATTTTGTAGGTAATATTGCAAAGACTAATAGGCCTGTATTGAGCAACAAAAGCAGGTTGATGGCATTTTGGAATCAGAGTGATCAGAGCATGGTTAAGGCTCAAGCTACCGGATGCAAAAAAACTTAACACCGCAGCACAAACATCATCTTTAACAACAGACCAGAATGATTGAAAAAAAGCAGAACTCATACCATCCGGCCCTGGGGCTTTGTGGGGGTTAATACTGAACAGAGCATCCCTGATTTCATCAGATGTAACGGGTGCCATAAGATCTGAGTTCATTTCTGCAGTAATAACTTCTTTCATCCCAATAAGCAGCCTGTCTCCTGTGCTGGAACCTCAGAAGAAAATAACCTAGAGTAGAAGTCTTCAATACAATTAGCTATTTCTTCTTTGGTGTCACAGATAGATTGATCATCCCTGGTAAGGCTGTGAATGTGATTGATCTTCCTCCTTTGAGCAGTGTGAGCATGAAAAAATCTAGAATTCTTGTCTCCATGCTTCAGCCAGGAGATTCTAGATTTTTGCATCCAATATTTCTCGTCCCAGCTATAAGCATCATGCAGCTCCTTTTTAAGAAGGTCCCACCTTTTCCAGTCTTTGAGCCCCCCATCTTCATTCAATGATTCTAGCTCTTTGTTAGCTGCAGCTATCTTCAAAGCATTTTCAGACTTAAATTTGCTGCTCCATTTCAAAAGCTGGATTCTGGATTGCTTTATTTTAGATTGTAAAGCGAACATCGGGGTGCCCTCTTGAGGAGTAGACCAGGCTTTGTTAACTTCCTCTTTGATTCCCTGCTTCTCCAGCCATCGCGAGTCAAAGTAGAATCTTTTCTTTTTTGCATGAGACTGACCGGAGCTATTTAGGAGAAGAAGGCAGTGGTCCGAAGAGCTCCTGAAAATGTTAGTGACTTGAGCCCCTTGGTTAGAAGTAACCCAGGCTAATGAACCAAAGACTCTGTCTATCCTCTCCTCCACGAACCCTTCCATCTCCCTATTATTGCCCCAGGTGTATGGGTAACCTTGCATATCAATCTCCATCATCCCCATGTCGCTGATGAAAGAATTGAAGGACTGACAAGAGTTAAGAGATCTTGGCCGTCCACCCTTTTTGTCCTCCGGTTTCGTGATATCATTGCAGTCTCCACCTAAGAACCAATAAGAGCCCCAACTCTATTGTTCTGCCACAAGGTAGTTCCATTGAGTTTTCCTGACATCAGGGTCTGTGCTTGCATATAGAAAGATACCCCATCCTACTCTGGCTTTGGCCTCATCCCAAAATTCAATTTCAATAGAGAATGCAGTCTTTTTTATGGTGAAAATTTGGACCGACTCTTCCCAGATTAGCAAAAGCCTCCACTCCTGCCTATCGGTTCCACAGAAGTCCAGTTATTGATAGCCCCCAGATTCCTACACACTGTGCCCACAAAAGCATTCTTTCTCTTAGTTTCTGAAATAAAGAAAAAACTTGGGTGATGGAGCCTCCAAATCTCCTTGATTTGGGAAACTGTAGAGGGGGGCCACCCACACCTCTACAGTTCCACACCGCAACCTTCATTTAGAACATTGGGGCCACTTGCGGCTGGCCTCCTTCACCTCTGAATCCATTTTTTGTTTCTTCTCGACACGAATTTCTTCTACTTCTCTGGTGCTACCAAGAATCTCAACTTCCTCTGAAATCTGCCTTTTTGATCTTATTAAATTCTTAAGGCT